ATGCATGGAATTCTAAACAGGGAAACAGGATAAGAAATTTATTTTCCTGCAGTTCACTTAAAATACATTAAACAAATAAATGATTTAAGTCTTATTTAAATGGCAGATTCCAGTTTCTTAATTTTAATAATGAATCCTCTTCTTACACCAGAGTTAGTCATGGAGTTCCTCAGGGTTTAGTGCTTGGACCAATCTTCTTTACTTTACATTTGCTTCCATTAGTTATTAAACAGCATGGGATAAATTTCCRTTGCTATGCTAATGATACTAAATTATATTTATGAAACCTGATAAATCTAACCAGTTACTTAAATTAAAGTCTTATATCAAAGATGTAAAAACCTGGTTGACTCAGTTTTCTGCTTCTAAACTCATATAAGACAGAGGTTGTGGTTTTTGGACCTGAACATCTTAGGAATCAACTTTGCAGCCTTTCACCTCCTCTGGATGGCATTAATCTGGCCTTAAGAACCTTTGTGTTATTTTTGATCAGGACATGTCTTTTAACCCCCACATTAAAACTGTTACCAGGACCGCCTTCTTCCACCTGCGTAATATTACTAAAATTAGAAACATCTTACCCAAAAATGATGCAGAAAAACTGATTCATGCGTTTATTACGTCTAGACCGGATTACTGTAATTCTTTATTATCTGGACATCCAAAACACTCTTTAAGAAGTCTTCAGTTGATCCAAAATGCTGCTGCTAGAGTTTTAATGAGAGTTGGAAGGAGAGATAATTTTTCTCCAGTTTTAGCTTCTCTCCACTGGCTCCCTGTCAAATTCAGAATAGAATTTAAAATCTTACTTCTAACATACAAAGCTCTTAACAACCAAGCTCCATCATATATTAAAGATCTTGTTGTCAGATAACTTCGCTCTCAGACAGCAGGGGTTTACTTGTGGTTCCTGGAGTTTCTAAAAGTAGAATGGGAGGCAGAGCTTTCATTTATCAAGCTCCTCTCTTGTGGAACCAACTTCCAGTTTCTGTCTGTGAGGCTGACACTCTGTCTGCTTTAAAGATTAGACTGAAGACTTTCCTTTTTGATAAATCATATAGTTAGACTTAGGTTTCCTGAGTTATTCCTAAGTTATTATAGTGTATTAGTTATGCTGCTATAGACTTAGACTGCTGGAGGATAAACTGACCACATTTCCTCACTCTGCTGTTATCTTTAGTCAGTCTCCTCTACGTTTGTTGTAATTACTTCTATCAATAACATGTTTTTTTGTCTCTCTTCCAGAGGAAAATAAACCTGGACCAGTCCTGTGTTTGTCTGTGTCTCTTTCCTGTCCCAAACCCAGCCAGTCGAGGCAGATGGCTGCCTGTCCTGAGCCTGGTTCTGCTGGAGGTTTCTTCCTGTTAAGATGGAGTCTTTCCTCTCCGCTGCTGCCGGTGTGCTGCTCAGGATGGGAGACTGTGACGAAGCGAAGATTCTGCACAGTCTGCTGCCTTCTTTAGATTTATTGCATTTTTTGTTTGTATACAGTGCCCTGAGACAACAGTTGTTGTGAATTGGCGCTCTATAAATAAACTGAATTGAATTGAAATAAGTACTTATCAATACAACCATGTAATGTATTGTGTATTTAACTTATGCATGAAAAACAAACAAATATAGATTAAAAATAAATACATAAAAAAAATACGACTAAATAATATCCATGATTTCTTTTTTTTCCTAACTATACTGTACCTTTAATACCAGACTTTCAGTGAAAAAGTCCTTAATCCKTCCTGGAGGTCCAGGTGGTCCTGTTGGGCCTTGCCTCCCCTGCATCAAACATAAACAAACGTCATCCTCAGTGACAAACAATAAATAATGCAAACATCTAAAATAAAACTCAGTCTTATACCATCTGTTCTGTTAACACAACACATTCTCATGCCCCCAGTAAGCAGCAAAGTGTGACCACTACGTATGTTAG